AACGTCTGTATTATTTTCCCAATCACGTGTATGAACTTAGCCTTTATGTTTACACTTTACAGTTCTTACAAAATCCGTTACATCCTGAAGAGACCAGATAACGGTGGTTGGAAATTTTGTGAGGTCAATATCGAGACTCCGTGATTTTCAACAAAGCAGCAAAATATAGCCCACTCTTCCTGCTGCATAACCATATACCATGAGATTGTATAATCTAACACCAAAAGATCGACATCAACCCGAGCATCCATCAAGCCGAAGGTATTGTGATTAGCTTTTTAATTTCTCATTCTTTTGGAACCGATTAGAATGATCATAGATAGCATCATTAGAATTACTTGCCTCCTTTATATTCCCACTCGTCTAACACGGTCCTCTAATGAAAGGTTTTGGCTGCGTTGTGTGCGTGCGTGTCTGCTGTATTGATCAAACATTATAGTTATGGAAAATACATACTACCTCCGTTCTTGAGTGTTTCTCCAATCTTGACTTTTTGCAGTCAGCTATTTTCAACATTTGACCTTAAATTAAAAAGAAACTACATGGTATATTAATTAAATAAAACAATATTAAGGCTCTGTTAGGTACACGGAATTCAAATTATGGAATTGGAATTGGAAACAACAATTCTAATTTTGCTGTTTGGTAGCACAAGAATATACAGATTTGGAATTCGTTGTACCAAAAATGTATTGAAATTGGAGACTTCTGTAAGTTCGTGGGGGCGCAGCGGAAATCACCAATCAAGAGCTATGCAAACAAATCAAACAACTATATTGTAGAGAAGATACTGTAGCACTGTCATAGTAATAGAGTGTGCTATAACACTTCTCTGTCACAAGCACACACAGAAGCAGATGATGCAGAAGGTGTTACATTGCCTACTGGACAGAATGCTGTAACTATAAAATGCGTAAAAAAAAATAACACCAGATATGTTTACGCAGTTTGGAGCAACTCTCCTACGTCTGCGGGGTCCATGTCCGTGTAATAGCCCTTCACTAAATCACTAGATGCAAGTTACACCGGTACATAACAACATGATGAGACACACTTCTCTGAATTGTTATGACAAAACTTCTAATCTAGGATTTCTAACCCGAACTCTGTTCATATCCGTTTCGGCTATCACATCTCCACCGAGATCACGAGGACAAACGTGTTGGCAGCTCACTTGTTCAGCTCTAGTTCATCTCTTGGACGTCACAATCGGTTTGGCATTGAAGATCTACTCCTTCATGTAGATCGTAACCTTCTTCACGCATGGGAAGCTCCGGGACGCGATGGGAACGCTCTACATCAACGTATATTCTTTGTTTTCCCTCTCGATCGCTCCAAGTAATTCCCAGGAACCTGCTGCGTTTTTATAGGCCTCTCTTAACACAATCCTAGTAGGAATAGGTTAGTAGAAGTTGGCTTGAACTCAACTTCCTTAATCTTGATCCACAAGTAGCCTAAAGAGTTGGGATTTCTTAACAAGTACAGCTAGAGTTATTATCATGTAGTCACAATCCCAATAGGTCTCTAATTCAGATTGCAGCTTAAAATCCCGTGCTCAGACCTCTAATCCCGGACAATGTGTTGCAGCATCGTGTTGTAGCATCTTCTTTGTCAACCTCAAAAACTGCAGCAACTCTAGAAGTCTAAATAAAATAAACCTCTTCTAACAAATAGTGATTTCTACCTAGTAAAACACCTAACAAATATGGGATTCTATTTTGCCAAAAGATTAACCAACACCATGGAACTAACAAATTCAAATCCATCCAAATCAATTCCATAGAATTTCAACTCCCAATTCAATTCCAATTCCATCAATTCCATGTACCAAACGGACCCTAATATTATTTAATTAGCAATCAAAGTTTGTCAATTTTAACTGCAAAAAGTCAAAAGTGGACATATACTCAGGGACGGAGTATTCTCATATTCTTATTCTTGTCTATGAGAGTAAGTGATCTTAAACATCCTGCAAACTCATGCTCAATTGGAAAAATATATTGCAAAAAAAAAGTACCCTTTCATCTAAACTCGGAAATTAATTCTATCCTACATCCATTGGTACAAGATTATTGCACAACTATTTAATGCCAGTAGAAATTCATAATTTCTCACTAACCAGAAACGAATTGCCAATCAAAAGGAATTATGAACCAGTTGTGTTTAGGAACCACAAATGAGTTGCACAAAAATCACCAACTTAGTAGAATCAAATCCCACAAGTGAGATTTGGAGATGAACAAGGTGTACGATGTTTCGCGTACATATGGCGAATATTCAACTAGGAGTAATAGAATGTTTATTTCGCATATTTTTTTTATTATTATTGGTTGTACATCGAATACTCATTTGCGAGTAAAAAGAACGCTCATTTTCGCATATATGTTCTTTATTTTAGTTGTGCATTTGTTGAATATTTTTTTCCCGGACATCACGATACTCATTTGCGTTTGCGGGATACGTGAATAGCTGGAGAAATTCTGGAAATTGATATGAGTAGTACCAAAAGAAGGTACAACCGGATGTATCTTATAATTTGCCCCTTATCACTACCTAAAAGGTGTAGGAAAGATTTCTGAAAGAATATAATAAAAAAGTCAAGGAACAAATTTTTACATTTATAGACATAGTGGAGCAAACACTTGGTGCAAGTAAAAACATGTTAAGCGAGTACCGTACATAACTGAGTGCTGAATTGTTCGAGACACTTGTTTGCTACCACAATTGGTAATTAGCTAGACATAGAAAATAAGAAATGACAATGGTGTTTGACTGGTCAAACTAACCCAATTTACAATCATAATGGCCAAATAATGGTTCCATCCATCACAAAACTGGCGATCCAAAACTGAATACACCTCCGGGTAAAGTGCTCGTTTAAAATTTGATGAATAATGCAATAAGGTTAGATATAAATCACCCTAAATAGGATTAAAACATAGAGAAAAATATTAAAAATAAGAATTTCATGTTTTTTTTCTGAAATAAGACTTTGCACTGTGATAATGTGGCACAGTAAATATGCACATTACTATACTTTTTTGGTAATGTACATGATCATGTTTGGTAATGTAAGTCTTATTTCGGGAATAAAAATATGGAAGTCTTATTTTGGTATATTTTCAACACCGGCCAAATGGTCACTTAAAATTGAAAGTAAATAATTTAAGTTACGTTCTCTTCACCTAATCTAAAATCCTAATGATTCTAATCTGATTGAAATAAATTTTGATCTGATCTCATATGAATATATTATATTTAAAGTTGTTTATGATCTGATATGATTTCAATAAAAATAAGTAATAAGTAAAAATAATAATTTGAAGAAAAGATAACTTTAGTCTTTAATTACAGATTGGTGGCAAAGAATAAAACATAAACCCGATATTTGTTTAGTGAAACTTCATTCACTTTCTTTTTTCGGTACTCATTTGATAAAATTTGATATCTATGTCACCTCTTGTTTTGTATAATTTTTGATGTAGTTTTAAAATATATAAACTTTTTTTTTATTTTTTTACTCAATTCTCAATTAAAGTGTAGTAGTGTACTATCTCTGTGTACGAGAATTTGTTCAGTTTTGACTTTTTTGGTCAACTATTTTCAACTTTTGACCTATAATTAAATAAAATATATTGTATTTTATATTAATTAGATAAAATAATATTTGATATAATAAATGAAATAAAATTGTTTTTGCATCAATATCTAATATCATTTTTATTTAATTTGAGGTCAAAGTTTACCAATTTTATCCAAAAAAAATTAAAAATAGACAAATACTCAGGAGAGGATAGAGTATTTACTAAATTCAGTCAAATATCGTAAACTCATTTGATAAAATTAGATAATCATGTCATCTCTTGCTTTGTACGGAGTATAATTTTTGATGTAGTTTTAAAATATATAAACTTTTTTTTATTTTTAACTCAATTATGTATTTACTAAATTCAATCAAAAATCGTAAACTCAAACATACGATTTAAGTGAAAGGTCATGTGTCGTTGAGATTTATTTTAGATAGAAAAAATAATAAGAGCATAAGATTTATTTTTAAGAAAATACTTTGAAGAGAAAATTAATAGGAGCGAAACATTTATTTTCTGAAAGGGAGTGAGAAAATGTATAAAAAAAAACTTGGGACGCTTAAAATAATAAAAAAAATTGTACTTAAAATTCTTTTGGAGACACGAAATACTACGTATGCACTTTACCAAATACCAATGCCACGATCGTCTTTTAGGGAAAAAAAATTGACCTTTACGGCTCCGATCGGAACTTATAATATCCGAATCCAACAAAAATTCTATTCATCCAAAGCCTACGAAAAAAATTTAAACCAAACCCGACCTTTGTGGGTTCAAATTTCGGTCATTATATTTGACTGGCGTGACCCAACACGAATCCAATGCAAATGAACTTTTAAAAAATCCTGAATCTTAATATTTCATGTATTTTTGACATATACTCAATATGTTTTGAATGTGTAAAAACTTACTCCCTCCGTTCTTTTAAACTCTTCCTATTTTGACTTTGCACCAGAATAAGGAAAGTATAATTTTAATTGACTTTCCAATTTTGCTCCTGATGTAATAGTTAAAAGTAAGATGTGATAGTTTATAGACAAATGAGCACTCTCACCTAAACATATTAGTCTTTTGAGATGAGCTCTCATGTTTAGTCTATATAACAAGTGATACCAGAACTAACTCGAAAGTAGTGCCCCGGTGGAGCCAACCGTGGTCAACATGGTCATGACCAACAAGGATGTTGGCCCTCAAAACAGGTTGAATGGGTGATTTGTCCCACATTGGTTGTATGGGCAACATATGAGACATTTACACACCAAACATTATGTGATGCATTTGGAATGGAAAATTTATATGCTCTGATTTTTTTCTTTGGGTATTAACCCAAACAAGTGAAATCCCATCCAACCAAACAATACTTCCTCATGACATGGTCAATATGACTACTGGTGTCTCTCAAAATGTTTCAGTCTAGAAACCAAGGATTTGTTAAAGGGCAAAACATGAGAAAAGGAACACAACAATGCAAAAAAGGGAGGAATATGTGGTGCTTTTTGGCGATTCAAAGTTCTAAATGATGCAAAAAGGAAAAGGACAAATGCATGTTTTGAAGAATGTGTACAAGGAGAAAATAGTCCATCAAACAATATAAAGTAGAAGAAACACATGTATCACTACTCACAGTATATTGCATTCCTTTTTCTCTAACTTCATACATAATTGAGCATCCTGCTCTAGTTCTCGCGCCCTGCGAGAAAAATGGAATAAAAATTACTAAAAACAGCAGTAACCGAAGCAGATTTTAAAATTTTTTTAAAAAAACTCATCAGGATGACAAAATATTACGGCTTCTTAGGACAGTCCGACTGGTGTTGCTCCAAGTCAAAACGAGAGGAAGTGGCAGAAACAAATACATTGTACTTATCTAAGATCTAAGCTAATCTCATCGGGCTATAAGTGTCTAAAGACACTACATTTATGCTTCTGCTCATTCAATGATTTAGCACAAATGCCACATAAAGTAAAAAAAAAAGACCTACACGCTCTGAAATGGGCACACTTGGCTGATACATACTGACCTGATGGTTCAACAAGAGGCCACGCTTGGCTCATTGACTATTGTATTCTAACCAAGACGAGTAGCCAGTTCCTAACAGAACACCATTAACAAAACACTAATGCTTTTTACTGCAAAATCCTGCAAGAGTAATATTGAAGAAAAGAAACGTGTGTGGAATGAATGTACCAAGCCAAAAAAAAAATGCCAGGTCGGGCTCGTGCACCCACTCCCACTACCTGAACATATCTGATTGAACCTCCATTAACTTAATGTTCTCTTTGTGGCAGTATAATTGCTGACTGTCTCCAAATACACCCAGTACATCATTCTGTTAGCTCACCATCAAATCTCATTACCTGTGATGCATGAATTTTATGTCACCTTCCTCAAACTATAGTCAGTGTCAGGGTTCCCCTTTTCAAAACTGCATTTTGACAAGATCTTTTTTGAACTTTGGGGCACAACCATGGCAATCTTGTAGTGTTATCACCCACAAAACGGCAGATAAACGGAAGCAGTTATTTGGACTTTCAAGAATTTCTTGAGGTGTTCAGTTGGGGATCACCAACACACCACTGTTGGATAAATTGGTTTCTCTGGGCCAAGTAGTGTTACAAGTTACAAAACCTCATATAATTATCATGTGGACACCACCCAATTTGAACCAGTGTACGGGTGAGACCATCCATGCACGCTGAGATATGAACCGGACTGCAGAGTCCAAACCGATGCAGTAGATGCTTCTCACACAAATTTTGTTTCTGACACCATGACCATGCTCAAGGACGCATACCTGTTGCTGAAGACCCACTGCTGGCAACACCTGTTGCTAATGGATATTGTTGGGTGTCGATGGATGTTGGATGTTCATAGATGCATTATGCATACTGTGAAGGTTAAGGCGGTGGTACAATTGATTATCACAAACCAAAATTAGTGGCGAAGGTTTATGGTGAGGTTCTTGCTTAGAACTTTGGGGTTACATTCTCTCCAAAGGCAATGTTCCCTCTGGCTGATACTATCTATGGTTGCTATGTGCCATCAGCCAATATATCATTTGGATATCAAGAACAAGACGGTCAAAGTCATAAGGCACACTGCACACTCAAGGCGCAAAAGCCCTATACCACAAGTACGCGCCTAACTCACGGAAGGCTCGTGGTTTTGGAAAGATTATCTACATGAATCTAGACCTATCAAACATAACACTCCATCTATCTATTTCTAATGTTCACATTTTTTTGGGGTTGTGTCCCTAAATAATATTCTCATTTCATAAATTTCAATCACACAATATAAAAGAAAAATCCATAATTTTCAAAACTATTACTCCCTCCGTCATCCCCTCTAACAGAGTACCTAAACGGCTAAACCTAATTTATCAATATAATTATTCTCTATTAGAAAACATTGGCAATAATTTCACCTACAAATACTCCAAGAGGATCCCGGCTTAATAAATTTTGCTCTCCAAATTTGATCCTCCATTACTCAAGCTATAGGCCAATTTAAAAGAAAATCACTCAGCTTTCCGTCTATTAAATAAAACCGAAAGTAATACAACCACTACGTAATAATGGGAGATCCCACTTATTCAAAAACTAATTAAGCAAGGCCTAACAAAAACATTTGTTCAATTCAAATATGCACTTTGCTTCTTCCACTAACCATGCATGCTAGGTTCTCCTCGAACCAGTCAAGAATAGTCCACTATCATGTCAATGATCTATATGATCCAACATGAAGAAAAGTGTTGAGATTAGGGGTGTAATCAAACTGAGTTGAGTACAAAATGTCTCGATTCAAGCTCAACTTGATTCTATAATAGTGATGTTTTAGGCTTGAGTTATGCTTAGTAGAATCTAATTATAGCACGTGCTCTTTCATTGGCTCTTAAAAAAACTATTTGTTTAGTGCTTGATTCGTTTGCTGTCATATTTAGAATGAGAGAAATTACTACCTCCATCTAAAATAAAAGGGCGGGGGGGGGGGGGTTGGTTTACGATGTTTGAGTAAAATTACTTTTATTACAATTTATCCCAAAATTGGTATAGAAATAAAAAAATAAAATTATATATTCAAAAACTATTTTGAAATATCTATAAAACATGAGGTGACATGAGGACATGGCTATATTATTTTATGAAATGAGTAGCATAAATGGGCAAAAGAAAGTGAATAAATTTTGACCATGTGAATAGTGAATTGTGCTTTTATAATCGAATGTATGGAATATAATAAACTCCTTAAATTCTTAACATGAACAAATGTACTACCTCCCTCCCATAAAATTCTTTACACCTTTTTTTGGATATCCCAAAAAAACTTCACACTTACTTTATTCTCTATATTGGTAAGGAATATGTGGTGCCAACAACTCTCTCTCCTTCAAATAAATTCTAATCACGCACTATTTACTTTTTAACAACTTTTTAAAATCTGTGATGTCCGGCTGTCAAGAATTTTATGGGGCGAAGGGAGTATATACCTTAGCTATAAAATTTATTTCATGCATTTGATATGACCAAACATTACAAGTTCCAAACTCAACTCAAACTAATATCTGAATTTTAAATTCACCTCATATTCTAATGTAGAACTTGAGCAATTCGATGATTGCTCAATTCAATGACAACCATAGTTGAAAGGTATAAAAAATGCAACTCTAGCCCTATAAGCTTACCAGATATTAGGTATTTCGTGTTATAAATATGGAGCTTCAATACAAATTTCTACATATCAATGTAATATAGTTTCCACTGATCTTGTACAAAGTGTTGAGAGTGTTAAATGTATGCTTAAAGGTGATTGAATGCATGCTTACAGGCTTGTTGAATAATTGTATTCAAACATGCTAAGTTGATAAATGGTAGTTGAGCTCATTTTGTGATTGATGCAATGAGAATTCCATCCCATCATACGCGAATGCCCAAAAGGGCATGGTGTTATGGGCTTATGAACTCCATAAACCTAATTTAAAAAGCATAATGGTGAAGGGGAGTTTTAGGTTATTCTGAATTTTACAGATTCAAAGTTCAGAATTCTGCTATATCAAAAATGGATGGCATGCTGGTTTCATTGCAGGCCCTTTGTTTTGTTAAATAAATTAGTCAGGTCGAAGATGATTCCTCAAAACCACCAAGCAGGACACCAATAACATTACCACCTAGCAGAACACCAATGACGGGGTGAGATTATTAGGTACAGTTCAATATTCTATCAGGGCCTCAGGGGTATTAACATTTGTTCAAAGGGTCTAGAAATTTTGTATGTACCAACAAATAATGGAATATTGTAATTTGTATGTATCCACACAAAAAAGGAGTATGTTTGTTAAAGTCTTACACTTAAATACCAGGTGAAATACTTCTCCTTAGTGTTAAATGGGTTGGTAGTGTTAAAGATTTGTCGAAGAACCGGAACTTAATACCTGATCATTTAATGTATCTTGCTAGAAAAAGTTGAAACGTCGACACACAACATGGCAACAGGTGACCCAATTGCAGGCTAAGAGGACTTCCTAAACATCTTCTTTATACCCATTTGTATGGGAAGCCCCCCCCCATAATGATATATCTACTGCTGTCTTCAGCCACAAGGTTGTATAGTTCATTTAGAGCCAGTATAAAAAAAATGTTATATATGGGTGGTATCATGATAGCCCCCGGTGCCTCATCAGAACTATCAAATATACACTACCTTACAGGGTATTTATTTGATTACTAAAGGAAAGGAGTTTGCACCATGAACAGCAAAAAAATTGATAAATTATAAGAACACATCATAGAATTCAATGACCTTAGTTCCAATACCTTTTGAAATCTCAGCACATGAGATATGGTACAAACTCAATTCAACGAATTCAATTCAAACAGCAAATAAAAATTATAGGAAAGTAAATTTCAAGGGGATATGGTACAAAAATAGAACACATACTTCAACCACTACGGCGACCAGCATCATCCCTGTTGTCTCTGTTTCCTCCATTGTTATTGTTTGTTCCTCCATTATTATTTCCATTCCCTCCCGTATTGCTGGTCTCTGCAGGGGATCCATAGCCTCCAAACAGCCATGGAATAGAAACCCTAAACAACCTTTGCCTTTCCACTGTCCTTGGTGCCTGAGGATTCTCCTGATTTCCTCCACCTCCCAAGCCCCCAAGACCCATGCCACCACTGTTTATGTTTCCAGTTTGCTGCTGGGAGGATCTCCTATTCTCATAATCAGGGTCATCAGTGGGCAACTCATATCGGCATACTGGGCATGAATTATGCAACTCAAGCCATGGCAAAATGCAACCCTTATGGTATATATGCTTGCAAGGCATTTGTTTAGCATCCTCATCGAGTTCAAAACCATCTTTGCAAACAGCACACTGAGAGGAATCTGAGGCAAGTATCTCCTGGGAGATCTTGATATCAGGAAGCCCTTCCATAGCAGATTTGGAAGCAGGAGGCGTACCATAACGGTTGGGATCATTCTCCATAAGCTGTTGGATCAATTGTTCAAACCCGGGACCCACAAAGTAATCTCCAAGGTTCCCTGGAATGCCAAAGCCGCCGCCGCCTCCGTCGCCACTGTTTTCAAAAACTAAATGAATATTAGAACCATCTGCCCTCAAGGATTGCACATAGTTCTGGAGGAAAACGATGGGATGGAATTGATTGGGGGATCGACTTGCTGCCACGCCACCGAACAAAGCGGAAAGATCATCCAGCGCAATCCCACCACCGGATGAGGCCGTGGAGAACATGAGGCCGTCACCACCTCCTCCCGCACCTCCAAGGCCAAACGGGAAATCATCCATTTCCGCGAAAAAAGGATTGACGTCGCTAGGGTTTGTAGGCGGGGCAGTTTCCGCTTCCTCCAAGAAGGTGCCGTTGCAATTAGGGCAAACGAGTTCGGAGTCGGGGGGCAACGGAGTGAGGGACACCGTTCCCTCGCATTGGTAGCAGAAATAGTTCTGCCGAACGCCGCCGCGGCCGTGTCCGTCTCCGCCGCCGCCGCCGCCGCCAAATAACCCGGCATACGACGACATCTTCCGCGTCCGATAGAATTGGGGAAACCTCCAACTTCGAATTGAAAAATGAAAGGAAGGAATTGGGGAAGAAGAAATGGAGGACCCGTGCGTCTAATCTCTGTGTTGGAACTTGGAATAGACAGAGAAGAAATGCCAGGAGGAAAGAAATGTGTCGTTCCAACTTGTGCAATAGGGGGGAACGGGCCCGTTAGGTTAATTAGGTAGCCTTGGTTGAATAAAATGATGAGCCTCATCTCCGAGAACCCTCTGAGATCCGGTTGGACGGTTGCTAAAAAAAGCTAAATTGAACTTTAATTGCGTACTGGTGGCAAAGAATGGAGTCGGCACCTGATACTTGTAGAGGCCTTATACTTAGCATAATTGTCTCCTAGCGCAGTTGCTAGGAATCGAACTCGGGTCTAACTCCCTTGACACCCCTTGTTGTTAGTTCCATATTGTGTTGGCAATAATTTTTAACAAATGAATAGATTTAGGTAGAATTATTTTATACATTTTATTTAAACTTAGAGTTCTAGCATGTGAAAAAAGAAAAAGAGGGAAGAGCTTAAAGAAAAAAAGTCTAATCCTACTTGGTTTACTATTCTTGAGGAGGAAGGCATGGTTGAGACTCCTAAGCACACTCTAACAAGGTTAATATTCTCTATATATTATCTTCTCCCTCCCTTAGAGTTTGGAGGTGGAAAAATACGAAACAACTGAAGCAAATCCAAAAAAAGAAAAACAATGTGCATAGTTTGATAGTGCAAATTTTCTAAACAGCCCGCATTGATTTGATCATCGCGGGAGATCCGACCGTTGGATTTTTCTGAAATTTACAGAGAGTGTTCCCAACACATAGGGCTTCAACGTGTCCAATTTTCACGTCAATCAGAGTTACGGATCTTCTGTTATCGAAGTTACAATCCACACATTGTTGCTGATTTTTTTGCAGAAAACACAGCTCTGGTTTTCTCGATCGTTGGAGTACCAAATCTTGTCTTATCGTGCTGAAATTTTTGGAGGAGTGTAAGGACTCGTGGAGCTTCAATCTGAATGGTGGAGATCGAATTCCAACGGTTCAATCTTGATTTATGAGCTTCGGATCAGCCTGCGTTTTTTGTAGATCAAGGAGAATCTTTGTTTGAAGGTGTACTATAATCTACGTCCTTGAAAAAGATCTTTGAGAAGGTGTAACAAGCCGTGGAGTTAGACGCAAACAGAGTTTGTCGTCAAATCATTTGTAAGTAGACAGATCAATATATTAGAAGGTTTTGTTGTGATTGATTGTGTAATTCTTACGGTGATTTAGTGGAAGGGCTATTACACGGACGTGGGCCTAGCAGACGTAGGAGAATTTGCTCCAAACTGCATGAACAATTCTGGTGTCTTGCTTACCGTTTTTGCTTTATATTCTACGTGTGTGCTTGTGACAGAGAAGGTGTTGTAACACTCTGTCTGTCATCTGTTACTGTGACAATGCTGCAATATCTTCTCTACAGCATAGTTGTTTGATCTGTTTGCGTAGCTTTCAATTAGTGATTTCCGTTGCACCCCCACGAACTTACACTTGCCTTACCAATTGCGCAACGCCCACCGGCGAATTCCCAATTATAGAGCCTCCACATCCCGACCTAAGGATTGTAATTCAACTTAAACCTGATCTTAACCGATCCGACCGATCACTAAAATATCTGAATCTGAACCGAGAATAAAATAACCCAAACCCGACTTGAAATTTTTAACTCGAACCCTACATCGGGTCGGGTCGAATGTAAGGTTTATAATTTTACCCGACCCGAACCTGAATATTTTATAACATAAAAGCCTATCTATGGACATAATGAGCACTCTTAACAAGGTGCTACCATATCAAATATGTTTTTTATAATTATTTTTATAATTCCTTAATAAAAAATGAGACACAAAAAAAGAGACACAAAAAAATTTAGGTTTAATCTTTTTAAAATTATAAGGGTACGTCGAATTGATTATTGGTTAAATTACGAATTCGGGTTCGGGTTTCGAGTTTAACTGTCGGATTTGGGTCGAGTCGGGTTTTTGGCTTAAGAAGTCGGGTTTCGATTTTAAAAGTCGGGTATAGTACTATCCGCCTGAACCTGAGTCGTTGTCATCCCTATCCCGACCCGATAGATAGTAAGATGAATATAGCTTAGCGGTCGGTTAAAAAGAGAAATTTTCCCAACAAAACATACAAGGTGTTGCGGGGGATGTATATATTCTTTATTGATAATAGCTCCCTTATATAGGGAAAAGCAGCCTAGGGTTTTACAAGAGAAGGCCCACGGGCCAGTACAACTATATTACACAATATAAAGTAAATTCTATCTACACAACAGCACACTAATTTACAAATTCCTTCAACACCCCCCTTTGTGCTGAGCTGTAGGTAGAATTGCAAAATCTTGATCTCTTGTCAAAATCTCGTCAAGTGTCAAAACCCTGTGAATAAAAATCTTGAACGAAGAAGAGAATACCGATCCTTACTTCGATCGCTATGTTCATGCATATTGTTACCTCATTAAAAACCTTACCAAGTAACAAAACCAGATTGGAAAAATAAACCTTGGTTTAAGGAAAAGAGTGTAACATAAAATAAAAGCTAGACCTTTGAACATTCAAATCTCCCCCTGAAGTGTACATGATCAAGGAAGATCTGAAAGTCTACGCATCCCAACATTTTTAACATGTTTCTCAAATGTGGCTTTAGGTAACGATTTGGTGAATAAATCCTCCACATTCTCCTCAGATCTTATTTGATTTACTTGGATCTTGAGGAGAGTTTGTTGTTGTTGATTATAGAAAAATTTGGGAGAAATATGTTTGGTGTTATCACCTTTGATGAATCCAAGTTTCATTTGCTCGATGCAAGCGGCATTATCCTCATAAATGCATGTGGGTTCTTCAGTGGTTGGTCTCAAACCACTAGCCCCTCGAATGTGAGTAATGATAGTTCTTAACCATATACACTCGCGAACTGCCTCATGTAGAGCTATTATCTCTGAGTGGTTTGATGAGGTGGCTACTAGAGTTTGCTTAGTTGACCTCCACGATATTGCAGTGTTACCAACTGTGAATACATAACCAGTTTGGGAACGGCCCTTGTGTGGATCAGATAAATATCCTGCATCAGCATACCCAATTAGTACATCATTTGGTGTTTCTAGATTTGAGGATGAACTTCCTTCTTCAACCATTTTCTTAGAATTCACAGTTTTCTTTGTCCCTTTGTATGGAAAGAACAGTCCCATATCACTGGTTTCCTTTAAATACCTCAAAATATTTTTGATACCGTTCCAGTGACGTTGCGTTGGCGCAGAGCTAAATCTAGCTAACAAGTTCACTGAGAATGCTATATCTGGCCGAGTACACTGAGCTAGGTACAATAATGCACCTATGGCACTTAAGTATGGAATTTCAGCTCCTAATACCTCTTCATCCTCTTCCTTTGGACGAAATGGATCTTTTTTAGGATCTAAGCTTCGGCCGACCATGGGATTGCTAGCAGTATGCGCTTTGTCCATGTTAAATCGCCTGAGTACCTTTTGGACATACGCAGACTGGTGGATTAATATCCCACCAACTCGATGTTCTAGTTCAAGGCCTAAACAAAA